TGAGTGATGTTTACCCAGTATGTTCAGCACTCTTCATTTTCATCGGAGGGGGGCCCTGTTGGACATACGTACATGGCTTACATTGTTTTATCAGAGTAGATCCAGTTTTAATAGATACAGACATTCCATTGTGTGTGTGTGTGTGTGTGTGTGTATGTATGTATATATATGTGTGTGTGTGTGTGTGTGTGTGTGTGTGTATGTATGTATGTGTGTATGTATATATATATATATATATATATATATATATATATAACTTAAACCTACATTACATATAACTTATATTTGTATTACAAAATAAAAAAACTTCAATATCCCAACTTTAGAATTCCCTGGCTCAGCTGGGACTTTTCATGATGGGAAGAAGCAGAAAGAAATATCAAGAGAGAAGCTTCAGTCTTAGATCATGCTCCTACTCATGTTGCAGAAAAATGATGAACTGTGTGGAGGGTACAGCAGGCCAAAAAGGAGAGGAATGAAGGCAATTTTCCTAAGCCTCAGTTCAGAATTTGAAACAATCACAAGGATTGAGGCTGCTGTAAAACACTAGAGGAATATAAGGCAGCTAGTTTTGCTTACTTCAGACTGGAAAAAGAATATAAGGAAGCCAGTTTCTAGAGAATGAGCAAACAGAGAAAGTTAACAGGAAAAGGCACCAGAGTTCAAGTCCCTAAAACCTTTTCCCCAAGTGGATAGTCTGTATTTGACTAGCTTGAGAAAAGAAGAAATAACAAGCCTTTCTATTGGTGCCACAAGAAACAGAAATGAAGATGAATGAACAACAATCTGCAATCATGTAATGTATATGGCATGTCTATATTCCCAAGTGAAAAACAACCTGGTATATCTTTGTCGCAAGTGCAAGCTTGTAAGAAGAGCAAGGAAAACCAATGCAGTGTAGTACAGTAGGGACTGGAGAGACTAAATTCAAGTCCACCTGGAGAAAATCAGGGGTATGAAACAACTCACTTGAAAAAAACAAAAACAAAAAGATAATGGGAACAGAGCACTGAGTGACCACATTACATCTCATAAGAGAGGATCAAGATTCATCAGATCAAAGAAACAACTCCATACAAGGAAAAGAATCAAAGCCACAGGCATGAGCATAACAACCAAAAAGTAGAGCCACAGAAGATATTCTGCATTGCTAGAATTGAGAAACTTCTTTGAGGTTCTCACAGAGGAAACAAGCTGTGAGTTTTCAGTAGTGATAGAGGACTTCCATTACACATATGGATGTTCGGAGACTGATTCCACAAAGCAGAGTTCTTCCAGGTTTAACTTGGTTACAAATTTTTCCTTCAGAAGGTAGAAGAAATCCTAGGACAATGAACTATCCTTGATGATAATAAAACAAAAGATGTAATAAAAGAAAAAGATGGAGCAGAAACATTGTGGGAAAGCTAACATGTAAAGCTAGAGTTTTTGAAAGGAGGATATTGACGTCTATCTTCCTTCAAATACAATAAGTGACTCATTCAGAAGAAGCTAATGTGAAAAAGAGCTCAAAACTGGGAATTCCTAAAACACAACTACCAACAATTCTAATGAGGAAAAACAATAGAAGATAGCTGAAAAAATAGTATGTGTATACCAAAAGCTTAATTAAGATCTGAAAACAAAGAAGGATCCTGAAAAAGAGTGACAAGTCACTAAGCTAGAGTACATACGAGGTACTCTAGCATTGTAGGGGCTGTGTTAGAGCATGGGTTAATGGCTGAAGCAGTTTGCCTGGAGAAAGGGACAAAACTCTGGTGCACATCAAGGAATGTCCAATAAGCCAGTGTTTCTCAACCTCAACCTTAAGATGGATAGACTTCAACTCCCAGAATTCCTCAGCCACCATATTGGCTGAGGAATTCTGGGAGTTGAAGTCCGCCTGCCTTAAAGTTGAGGAGGTCGAGAAACACTGCAATAAACAACAGAACTAAGATCTTCTGACTTGTATATTACAGCTCGCTCGGCCAGAAGAATTCTCTTTCACCAGTTCTTGTAACAGGGAAAACAAGCTCTAGTTTGTCACTTTTCTTCAAGCCACTTGATAATCCCAGCAACTTCATGCCTTCCTAAAGAATAGCAACCCAGCCCAGCTGAGTAATACAGTAAGCAAACAGGCAAGTTGACTTCCCTCTCCTTTGCATCCTGCTCAGCGATGAACAATTATGCACAATCTACAAAATGCCACAAAGCCTTACGCTACTCCTTGACCTTGCCGTGTGGGCAAGCAGGAGACCCAGAATGATTCTTCCTTTTCTTGCTGAGCATAGCAAGCAGGTCTTCAGTCCTTTGCTGTGTTTCGGAGTCAGAAACTGGAAACGTTGGTGGTGTTTCTGTTTTTGCTAACGTTTACCTCTGCACTAGCCACAGCTCTCTGGACGCTCCCATTTGTAGCTGGGTCCACCAGGAGGACGAAGATAAGCATTAAGGGTCTACGCACAGATGAAGACTGAGAGTTATGCATCAGCCATATCATTGTTCTTCTCGGTTTACATGCTCAGATAAGCCAACATGCAGTTTGAAGCAGAAAAAGCAAAAAAAAACCCACTTGCTATTCTAAAGGTTTCTGCCACATAGGAAAACCTAGAAGAGCAGCAGAGGGTGTTTTCCTAGTGTAAACACAACCACAATATTTCACTTTCTCAGACTACATGGTGCCAGTGGCCTTGGTGGTGAGAATCCAAAAGCGCCAGTTTATTTTTAAGATATCTTTAAATCCACTGGGGATGCCTACACTGTTATTTCATCCATAAAACAATGAGCACTCCAGGCCCGCAGGCTGAATCCACACATTTTTCCCTGTTTCATCAGCTTACTGGGCAGATGGGACATCTTGCAAGGAGTTTATGAGATCTTGTGCAAAGCCTGAAATGTAATTAGCTGTGCTGCTGCAACTCATCTCACAGCAAAACGGTCCTAAGACTGGAACGCAGACAACTGCCACGGTCAGATTAGATCTCAAGCAAGAAAGCTCTAAAACCACACACACACACACACACACACACACACAAGCAAGAAGGCATGTATAGCCGTTGGCTAGAGACACAACTTTCGTAGAATCCATGTTCTCCATTAGAGGTCTTCTTGAATTTTCTATTATGAAAGGTGGGGAAAAGAAGGCCAGACTTTTTCAGAAACAGTTCCCAAACTGTAAATCTCCAGGAAGATCAAATTATCTCCATTTCTACATGCGGTTAAAAAAAAAAAAAGGACCTAAAGATGGTCCTAAAGAATTTGAATATTCTTGTGGTTTAAGCATTGTTTTGTTTTCATTTTTATTTTGTTATGCTTTATGTATTTTCACAACTACATCAAAATCAAGCCAATCTTTAGTATGGTCATAAGTGAGTATATTGATTACTATTATTATTCATTGCATAGGTTGTAATGGACAAAAATCCTAACCGTAAGTCCTTTTAATAAAATCACAGTTTAATGTGTGTGCTTATATTTCTATGCTGCTTCTTTTGCAGTCACGTCTCAACGTGGTTGAAATTTTTTTAAAACCCGAGTAAAAACACAGTAACAGAAGTGAAATTAAAACAATATAAAATCCATAATAATTAGAGCAGTGCAGAGAGAAAGAGAAAGAAAAAGGGAAATGCTATTCGTCTGTAATGTTTATACAAGGAAGGCCTGTGTAAAGAGTTGTTGTCTTCAACAGGTTCCTAAAAGTTGTATCAGTAAGTACCTTATGAATTTCAGTGGGGAGAGCATTCCAGAATGACATTGTCATCAGAGAAAACTCCTCCTTAAGTAACTGTGAGATTATGATTTATTAGTCACTGTACCTACAGCAGTTCTTATTTATTCAATCACAATTGCTCTTTATGTTTGTATTTCTCCCTCTTGCCAAATATTGAGACCAAGAGCCATCCAATAAAGGTGATAGGAAAGACATTTAAAATCAAGAAAAGAAAGCTGAGAGAGGTAGCCCCTAATTAAGCTTCAAAGTTCATTTCAAGATATAATGATGGCCACTAACTTCGATCACTGTCAAAGGAGATTGAAGAAACCCATGGAGGACAGATGAAGGGCTACTGGTCCCTAGAATTCAATCCTATCTCCAGATTGGGGTTGAATGGCAGCTGGAGAGGAACAATTGGTGAAGGATATGTCTCCATCTCCTGCTTGTGAGCACCCCAGAGGCATCTTGTTGGCGAGTACGCGAAACAGAACGCTGGACTAAGAGGAGCCTCAGCCTGATTTGGCAAGGCTGTTTTTAGGGTTCCAGGAGAAGTCCCAAAGATAGTTCCCACCTGGCGTGCATTGCAGTAGTCTAAACAGTGAAGTTGAACCCTATGTATTGTTCTACAGAGACTGCTGCGCGGGATGTTTATTTATACAATGCACAGACCATTTTTTAAATGATTATCAACCATCCCCAAATGAGACTTTCACTTTGGCTTGCAGCATTTCTGCCACTGCAACCAACAGAGCACCCTATGCGCAACAGTTCTCTTTCATTCTGCTGGAACAACTGGAAGCTCCTGTCACTTCTGACCCTGCAGATGATGTTACAGAATCAAGATACTTTCTGCATGCTTGGGCAAAAAAAGGACCCTCATTTGTTTGTTTGTACAAATGGCATAGCCGCCTACCTCACAAAGGTGACTACGTGGGGGGGCATCCAAAAACTAAAACCAAACAACAATAACACGGCCAATGGGCTCACATAACCTCATTGCTCAAATGCCTGTGAGAGCTTCCAGGTGTTTAATGCCTTAGAACAAGGTGGGGCCATCCAGATCTCCACGGGCATGTTGTTCCACAGGGCACGCACAGTGACCAAGAAGGGACATATTTGCATGGTGCCCCTACAGGCCTAACTATTAAAAAGATTGGAACAAAACAAGTAAACAAAAACCAAACGCTTTTCACAAATGGTGATTAATTCAGCAACTCTGAAAAAAGGTAACAGTTGAGTGATCTCTATCCGTTCATGCCCTTGACCTAGCCAACTTGCCCGAGTGCAATGCGGAATTATTTCTGACTCTTACCTGATTCTATCCTCTTCAATGCTCTTTAAGTCTGCATCCCGCTGCAGCACTTTCAAAATTGACTCTTGCTCCTCATCGGTAAGAAAACTCAAGTCAATCATCTTGTCGGCTTAGAACCAAGAAGGAAAAGAACTCTAAAAATCTTCACCGGCAATGCCAGCAATTGTAGGTCTATGAAGCAGAAGGGACACCAGAGCAAGCACGGCTTAAAAAAACCCTAAATTCTGTTGCTGGGTCTGAGCAAGCTATATGTCGGTAGCCAAGAGCCTCTTAATAGGACGTTGCATTCCTGGATGGTGCTCATCACACAGATGTTATGTGGCAGGCATCTATTTCAAGATGGTCTTCATCTGCAACATGAGAAGAAAAGAAACATTCAGTTCCAGTAATTTCATAGAAGAAAGCGTAGTGGAGGGAGGAGGAAGATCAAACTGATATGGTAAGATACGATTATCACAACAGAACAAACTGAACAGAGCAGAGTTTATTACAATCAGTAATCAGGCAAAAAAGAGAAAGAAAATACAGCAAAATACCCATCTATATATAGGAAAACAAATATGTAGGTCAATTTTGGATAGCATAAAAATTATGAACACAAAATCTATAAAACCCATGGAGCTGATCTAGTTAACTAAATCTATAAAGTTATCTATAAAACCTGTCTGCTTTATTTGCAGCTTTACAGCCCTTGGTTTGGTACATGGAAGAGTCAGACAGAAGAAATGAAATGGAGAAAGGAGATTACTTTATGGCATCCAATATTAAAGTGGGATGAAATGTAAATGTTTGCCTTGCTAAGCCTGTTACTGTGTTTTATCCATAAGGTGCTTCTGCCTTTGTATGGTTTCAGAGCAAAATCTCACAATTTGGGTCAAAATATTAGGGGCTGTATCCTTCAGCAATCAGTGAACATTGTTTTATTTCAAAGAAGAAAAGCACTGAAGGAGCATGGAAGGGGGAGAAGATGATATTGATACAATAATAATTTATTAAACTTGTATGCCGCCCAAATCTCAGCGACTCTGGGTGGCTCACTTCAAACAAAGAAATTACAATAAAACCAATAAAAGATGAAAGATAAAAAGATGGCACGCTTGATGAAGCGAGGGGTCCCACTTTCCCTTGCTGAAAGCCTGGGTGAAGAGCCAGGTCTTCATGGCTCTTCTACAGCACAACAGAATGGGGGCCATCCAGACCTTTGGGGGACCCTCGTTCCAGAGGGCAGGCGCTGATACAGAGAAGGCACATTTCTGGGGTCCTGAGAGATGACATTGTTTAATTAAAGGAACCCAGAGAACACCAACCCTGCAGGATCGAATGAACTGTGTAGATGCTATGGGAGACAGGTGGTCCCTCAAGTAACCAGGTCCTATAACAAAGTTCTAATTTATTCTATTTATTTATTTATTTATTTATTTATTTATTTATTTATCTATCTATCTATCTATCTATCTATCTATCTATCTATCTATCTATCTATCATATTTATATAGCCACCCATCTCACATAAGATGACTCTGGGCGGTGAACAACAATTGAAAAAATAAATACATAAAAGCAACTACATATAAAAAAACAGTAAAAACACACAAAACAGGAGGGGATAAAATTAATAATATTTATTTATTTATCATATTGATAACATCATGGTGGAAATCACTGGTAGGACCATGTAGAATCTAGTGTTTGATTTCCAAAAAATACTTTGGGAGCGCCCGGGAGAGTGAGCACCACAACACCATAAAGGAGCTGTAAAGTCTTTTTTCAGAAACTGCACAGCTGCCCTCTGCAATTGCAGTTCAGCCCTGGGAATGACTGCGGTTGTGTTAAGGTGTTGCACGCAAGAGCTATATTTCTGCTCCTGCGTTCTCCCAAAGTACTTTATGAAGTTAAAACCCAAAGCAGGACCCAGCTCTCATAAATTGCAGTTTGGAAACACCCCTTCCGATCAAAGTGGATTTACAATTTGGTTACTCTGACCACTGCAGAGTGTTCTCATAAGATTCCAGTTTCCATTTCAAAAAAAAAAAAGTGTCAGCCGTATATATTTGGGTAGTCTAAGAAGGAAAATTCAAAAACTATGTTATTAATACCCACAATTATTTATATCACCAGCTCTGAATAACACATAACTCTGAAATAGGTTGAGTAAAAATAAATGACTGAAGTACAGCCCAATCAGACTTGCAAGATTCTGTTGTTATAGCCAATCTCAGTAAAATGTACAGCAGGTCTAGTCTTCTGGTGGAGTTGATTTTCTAGTTTGGTCTTCCTAGTGGGACTATCAGTCTTGCAAGTACCAGCGTGCTGCATCTCCCCTCCTTCTTATACCCCAGTGAATCAGGGAAGTATCGGCCTGATCTGCTTTTGAGTATTATCTTGTTTCTCACCACTTAAAGAATGTTTCAGCCCTCTTTGCCTAGAAACAGTTCTTGCATATTTCTGTCAAATCACTTCCCTTATTCTCTATAACCAACATTTAATACAAATTCTTAGCCAATCAATTTCACAAATGTTGTTGTTGTAAACTTTATTGTCATTGTACCTCGTGCAACGAAATGAAATGCCATCCCCAATGGACCTTATATATATAAAAACCATAGAATAAAAACACACATCTTTCACATTCTATTCACCATTGCACAACCCCTGATGTTACATTACTATTGCACTATACGATAGAATTCAGTATAGTTACAGCTCTAACATAGAAGCTATTCTTCAGCCTATTCGTCCTTGTTTTTATTATCCTGTACCGTCTGCCAGATGATAATAGTTCAAAGAAAGAATGTCCTGGGTGGGATGGATCCTTAAGAATGTTTTGAGCCTTCTTCAGGCAGCGGGAACTATACAGTTCTTCCAAAGAGGGGAGAGGGCAACCAAT